TTTTTTCATAGAAAAATATATGCTAATAATTGTTCTCTCTTCAATTGCGATTCTCCATCCAAACTTAAAAGAATAAATTGTCAATGATTAACGAGATAAATTTATTCCCAGCCGCAAACATAATTCTAGTTCGGCCCACAATTTTAAAGTTGTATATTTCTTTATTTTATTTATTGCATCAACGCGTATATAGAAATGGTCAAGTTAAAGCTGTGTATTCTCACTTAAAAGCCAAACCTTTGAGTACCTAATCCACAAAGGAAACAACAACAAGAAATAAATGGGAAAAGCAAACGGAATCCAACAATCTAATTCTTAACAACAATACCTAAAACCCCAGGGAAAAGTTGTTTAATTTATTGATTTAGCAAATAACTTAATTACAACATATTTGCTGTTTTGTCTGTTTGTAATTTTCTTGCCATGTTCATTGCAATGATTGTTGTTGTTGGAACGTATAGGTAAAGAGAGGGAGCACATGCGTAGCTTCCAAATTTTACTGATTGCCTTTGCATGCGGCTTGCAGCATGCATGGTTTGGTTTTATTACAATTGTTGGAAAGGTAGACAGGAAAATCCAAGAAGCAATTACAAAAACAACTTGTCCAAAAGCCAGCTAATGGATTTATAATAAATCTTTAGAGGGAATGAATCTATACTTGTTTAATTACAGTATTGTGTCAGGCATGTTGCAACTTGGATTCAAGGGATTATTAATTATATTCAACACCCAAACCAGCCAGCAGTTTTTTTCTCTAAAAACCAACTGCAACATATATATAAATGAAGGGGAGACTTTTCAAATAACTGGGAAAATTATATTAATTTTTTTAATAGTCTGGAGTTATTAATTTATTATAAGGTTGTATCTGTTCATAATATTTCTTAACTATTAACAACGCACATACATCCTACAGACATCGCTTTTATCTAGTCATACACAACAAAATGATAAAGAAAAACTGTCAACATCTCCAAATTGGCACTTAGTTTATAATATGAGAGTATTAAACCTGTAATGACGTTTCTAAGATTTAGGGCAAATGAATAGGATCAATTCCCTGAAACAAAAGGGGGTCATTTTATGTATTCAAACTCTCAGTTGTACTTCCAGTCCTCTGACTATTATAAGAAGACATAATATTTTTATTTATACTATTAACATTGCAATAATTGATAATCTTTTCATCATTTATAGTGCGCTAAGTGAAGTTATTATTATATACATTGATTTTAAAAATTGTTGTTAGTTTGCAAAAATCGTATAAAATTTTCAAGGTCAGCCATTGATCAGCAATATATTAATGTATTTGGTAAAACTGTTAATTAAATTAAGGGATAGATTATTAATTAAGAGGCATGTGCAGCTTTTAGTTTTTCCAAACTAATTGTTAGCTTCTGGGAAATTGTTGACACTTCCATAATAAACAAATTAAAGATAACATTAACAACCTAATCACTTGTGGGAAATGACACTTAAAATTTGGATATCTATATATTAAATAAGTATATTAGCATTCACAGACTATAAAATTTAACCTCCATAAAAAATTTTTAAGAGGTAAAAGACACGAATCTTACATAAAAAAAAAGGAATGAAACTTATAAGCGGTGGAACTACAAAATTTAGTAGACATGTGTTTTAAGATAAAATAAATAATTATAACGATAACTCACGACGATGACATCACAAAATTGTATGAGCCCCCTCCAAAATGATCATATTTGACTTAGGCCTACAAATGACAGTTGTCCTACCAAAATGGTCATATTTCACTTGGGCCCTTTCCTGCCATAACCTAACCCATCAAAGCAAGCTTGCATTATATACATACTTTCGGTCCATTTTCATACTCTTTTTTCGCTTTTCGAATCATTGATGTGTTTTAGGAGGTAAAGTTGGTTTACGTCAAGGAACATGTGTCTTGTGATTTTTCAAGCAAATAAACAATGAAGTTTTGGAGTTTAAACACAAATTAAACGTTTCATCTATTAGTTTATAAGTTGGAAAAAAGTGGTCCAAGGGTTGCATAAATTTATAAGTTAGTGTTCTTTAAGTGTGGTCCAAAGGTTCCATCTATTAGTTTAAGTGTGTTTTTGGTATAAATTAAAATTCACACAATATGTAGATGAAATAATAATTTTCTATAATTATATACATATATTCAAAAAGTCTATAGGGTAAATTACACAAATGGTCCCCTAACTATAGGATATACTTTGTTGAGTCCTCCGAATATTAAAAGTTACAAAATGATCCCCGACTATAGGGAATTACTTTGTTGAGTGCCTCGACTATTAAAAGTTACAAAATGATCATCTGACTATTCATTATGTTCCAATCTCGTCCTTTTTCGTTTAAAAATTAACGACAGTCTAAGCTGGATGTTAACCTACTGACCGAGACATGATAAAATTTGATCTCATAATCTCAAACGATTATTATATCTCAGTTAGCATGTTAACATCAAACTCAGATAACCATTAATTTTTTAATGGAAAAGGACGGATTTATAACATAACGAATAGTCGAGTGACCATTTTGTAACTTTAAATAGTCTAGAAAATCAACAAAGCAATTGTGTACTTTACCCAAGTTTATATCGATAAAAAAAATCAAAATATTGCAAACTTTAATATTCGTATTTATATATATTGGTCTGATGAGTTGTTTCAACTAAATAATAAATAATAATGTAGGGTAACATAACATTATTGACCATGATTTGATCACAGAAGTGTTGTGAGCATATTTATTTGGGGTGGTGTGATGCTCTTAATTCATGTGACAAACATGTCTTAATTTATTAGTTAAAAATATTATGCTAATGAGATTTTAGCAAAGTTGATAAAAGCTGGTACTTTGGATTCTTAGATTTCAAGTTGGATTATTTTTCAGTGTAAATCATATATGCGTTAATCAGTACTTACAAATATAAAGTTTGAATTGAAAAAATGATTTGAGATTTTATTCAAACTAATTCTTTGTCTAAATTATTTTTAAATATCAGATAAAACTTTTAATTTAATTGAATGAGTTGATCCATAAACAAAACAATTACAGTGGAAATAATCAATGTTAATTGAACTTAATTAGTTTATTGAAGTAGCAAACTAGAACCTTCAATTTCCAAAGAAGCAAGCCAAGCCTTGAAGAATGACCATATAGAAATCAACTTTATTTTTATTAATTTCATAAATCTTTAGTATTTGTTTAAAACCTTTCTCAGCCATTGATGATGTCTACATCCAATAATGTAGTTATTCGAACTTGAAATCTTTAGGGAGAACAATATTCTCTTCTATCATTGAGTCAATTCAATAGGCGCAATAGTTAAATTGCAGCTCAATTTTTCAATAATCAGTTAGTTTAGTGAGATAAGATAATAAATCTTTTAAGTAGGATCAGATGTTCAAATAATGATATTGTAAATAGGCAAATTGAACTGTGAGGATCGTTCTTATAATGAATCACTGTAAGATCTAGTTCAAATTAATTAATTAATATATCAAATATCGATGGTTTATAAAAAAAAATAGCAGATTAATTTACTTAATGCATTTGATTAGTCGAACCATTTTACTTTAATAATTAATCAACGTTGTCATAATTAAGAGTCGTGTTGGGTTTCTTAGTTTACTAATATAATATAAGGTATCTAATAAAGGTATTTCAATTTTTATTTATTTGTTGGGTTTAGTGGGTTGGTGAGGGCGTAGGAAATGGCCGTTTAGTGGGATGGTTATGTTGAAAAATCAAAGATTAATGTCACAATAATCAAAGCCATATTATCAATATTCAATGCAATACATATATAAATACGTGCCGAATAAAGCCAAATGATAATAACCAATAAATAATTTTGAGTCCGACAAATAATGTTTTGTTCGGATTTTGGAGTTCTACAATAAAAATCAACTAATGCGGTTTCAGTTCTCAAAATTATCGATCTCTAATTAAACATGTCAGCTTCATTAAAATTTTAGAGGTAACACAACTATATTAAATACACTTCGAACTTGTATTATGATCCTCAAAATATGTACAAATGTGAATGCCTTCATCTTTGTTATCGATCAATTTTCGTCTAATTTTTTGATGTTTTTTATAAGTCGCGACATAAAGATTCGACCACCAGTTAAAGCATCTGACACCTTCTCAAGTAATAAGTTGCACAAACAATACCAATATGCTTCACTTGTACCAGTTACAATACAGCCATCGACCGAAAGATTTAACTGGAGCAGTTGTATACTTCCCACGTGAAAGAATGAACACGAATAAAGGTGTGTTAAGTCCGTTTATGTTTACAAACAAACTTGTTTATCAACTCGTTCGTTTCAGTTCATAAACAAACTAGTTTAATGACTTGTTTGCTTTTTACTTTTTTACATTTTAAAAATCGGTGAATGTAGGGACTAACTTGAACAAATGGTAAAATTTAGAGTTTAAAGATTGTATTTTTGTTGTTCATGTGGATGTTTTATAAGATTTATTTAGTTGATTTTGTTTAATTTTAAAATATATAAATGAATATGTTCGCGAATGTTAAGAGAACATATTATTTAACATATAAATGGAAACTAAATGAACATATAAACAAATGCTAAATGAACATGTTCACGAATGTTAAACGAGCATGTTTGCGAACACTAAACGAAAGAACACCTTCAAAAATAAATAAACGGGCATGACCCCGAACATTGACACCTTTAAAAACAAACAAACACGAACACATCATTATTCATTCAAGCTCGGTTCATTTACATACTATAGAAAATATCTTAATTATGTGTTTAGTTTACGTTTATGGTTATAAACCTTCGTTGTAATTTTAAATATTTTCATTTTTTAAGTAAAATCAACTACTATTTACATAAAAAAGGATCTTTTTATTGGATAATTCAAAATTTTATTACCCAAAGTAAAGTTTAAATACAACCAATCAACCAATCAAAAGTCACAAAATCAAAAGAAATCGACCTATACAAAAAGATTGGTTAGACTATACCACAAACATCACAAAGCTTAAGATTAGTACTATCTAGTCTATTAATATTAGTACCCCTTAGACTGATCCCAACAACATCTTTAACTTCCTTGAACAAGCATTCCACCGTTCTATGACGTCCTAAGAAGATTCTTTGATTTCTTTCCTGCCAGATGAAGTAAAGAAATGCACTCCAAGAAATTTTCAAAATGGTGGTAAGGAGTGACATCCCTTTCCATGAAGAAGTTGCGCTTGAAACCATTTCGACCCATGTCATGGAAGATGAATTCATCCCATTAAGCTTTAGAATAGCATTCCAGAGAGCTGCTTCCAGTGGGCATTGCGTGAAGAGATGGTCCATTGACTCCATATTAGTGCTGCAGTTTACATAGTGGAGATCAGTGCAAATTCCCATTTTATTGAGTCGGTCTCTAGTTGGCAACCGGTTGAGAATTATCATCCAGGCAATCAAACTTAACTTTGGAATATGTAATGAGAACCAAATTAATTTGTGCCAAGTTACTTTCTGTTCTTTGAATCGGATCAAGTCCCATATATCCCTTGTTTGCACAGGATTGGCTGAAATAATTGGTGAAGCTTCTGTCTGCAATTTCAATAGTCTTCTTATACTCCAACTAACATTTACACCAGCTTGGAACTGCCAAAATTCGTGTTCCTTGAATAAATAAGCTTTAAGCCAAGCTACCCATAGAGAACCATTGCCCGCAAGAATTTTCCGAATGAAACTCAGCAGGCATGCTCTATTCCAAGTTCTAATATTTTTCAGTCCTAATCCTCCTTCGGATTTAGGAAGGGTAATTTTCCCCCAGCTAATTCTTGCACCAGCAGCAGATTTATCTGCTTCTTTCCAGAAAAACCTGGAGCAGATTTATTCCACCTTTTTAAGGATTGAGGCTGGCAGAACAAGTTGCTTGCACCAGTAATTGCAAACATTAAATAAAACATACTTAATGAGTTCTAATCGCCCTGCGTAACTGATATTTCTCCCGGACCAGATGTGAAGCTTACGTTTGATGTTATCAATAAGAGTTTGGCAATCCTTCTCGGTTAGCTTGCGGGTAACTAAGGGAATTCCAAGATAGCGAACAGGTAAATTTCCGACTTGAAACCCTGTGATGAGTTTTACATTCTCAATTGTTCTAGCATGAATACCCGCAGAAAAAATCTCACATTTAGATGAATTCAACTTGAGTCCAGAGACTTCATAGAAATGATCAAGGATACTAAGAACTCCAACCACTGATTCAATATTTCCTTTGCAAAATATTAGAAGGTCGTCGGCAAAGGATAGATGAGCAAGACCTATTTTCCTACTTTTTGGATGAAATCCAAATATACCTCTTTCGGCTGACAAGTTAAGTATTCTTGTAATTATCAATTCGAGATAGTCAAAGGTTATTCTAGGAAAAGTCTTTCTCCTAGGTGTGCCATTAAAATTGATTTACAAAAAGCCTTTGACTCTGTGAACTGGGTTTTTTTATGGTTGTGCTGGAGGCCATGGGTCTTCCTGATAAGTTTTGTGGATGGATTCAGACATGTGTTACCTCCCCTAAATATTTAGTTTCATTGAATGGAAGTCTGGTAGGTTTCTTTAATGGTGCTAGAGAGGTTAGGCAGGGGGATCCTTTATCCCCTTACCTTTTTTGTTTTGGCTATGAATATTCTCTCCTACTTACTAGATGTTGCTGCCAATAATGGTATTTTTAAGTATCATCCCAAATGCAAGCGGATTTCTCTCACCCATCTTTGCTTTGCTGATGACCTGTTGGTGTTCTGCCATGGATCCCTTGATGCTGTGCTGGGTGTATTGAGCACTTTATAGAGGTCTTCTATGATCTTTCTGGCCCTAGACTAAATGACATGAAGACTGAGATTTATGTTTGTGGTGTATCTGTCCATGTCCTTGAGCAGATTCATTCTGGCACTGGTTTCAAAGTTGGGAAACTCCTTGTCCGGTATCTTGGTATACCTTTGGTAACTAGGAAACTCACAGGGAAAGACTGTTCTGCTTTGGTGGTTAAAATTAAAGAGAAACTTAGCAAATGGTCAAGTAAAAAACTGAGTTTTGGAGGCAGACTACAGCTCATTAAAGCTGTGTTGTTTAGTATCTTTAGCTATTGGAGCAGACAATTTATCCTGCCTAAAGGGGTGATCAGGGATATTGAGAAACTTTGTATGAGATTCTTTTGGAAAGGCGGTGACACCCCTGCTAGGGGTGCTTGGGTTAGTTGGAGACAGATTTGTTCCTTGAAATCTGAGGGAGACCTGGGGTTAAGGAGCTTGTTGGATTAGAGCAAAGCCTGATGTTTGCTACTCATAAAGAAAATTTTAGCAGAGGAAGGCTCACTCTGGATTGCTTGGATTAATGTGTACTGTTTTAGATCTGCTGACTTTTGGAATGTAGAAAACAAGCTTAATTTTAGCTGGATTCTGGCTAAACTGCTTAAGCTAAGAAGTGATGCTTGGAGACTGTTTTGCTCTAGCAGCAACTGGTCTCAAGTTAAGGTTAGTTGGATATGGGACAATATTCGAAGTAGGCTTGAGAATGTTAACTGGCATCGTCTTGTATGGTCTCCAGGCCATGTTCCTAAATTTTCTTTAATCTCTTGGATGTTAATTTTGGACAGATTGCCTACAAAAGATAGGCTAGCAAGATTTGGTTTGGCTACGGATATGGCGTGTGGGCTATGTAATTCTGGTACTGAATCTCGTAATCACATTTTTTTAGTGTGTTTTTGCGAAGAGCATTTGGCGTGCTATTCTTCTCTTCTGTGGCATTGCCCAGGAGTTCATATGCTGGAGTGATCACCTCCAGTGGTTGATACAGAGTCTCAAAGGTAAGTCTCTTCTGGTTCACCTTCTCAAGCTAGCTTGGACTGGATTCATTTATTACACTTGGGAGGAACGAAATCATAGGTTTTTTAGAGGTATGGCTCGTTCGATTGATACTATTGTAAGTAGGGTTAAGGATGTTGTGAGATTTAAATTGTATGGATCTCATATGAACATATTAGATGCTGTAAATATGCAATTATGTGTTACTTGGGGATTGATATAATTGTATATATTGTATAGGGGTATACGTTGCACAGCAGCTTGTCTGCTCCTTTTTGGATGAATGAATTTTACTTATCCAAAAAAAAAAGGATTGTGATTATAGTTGTAATTTTATTTTTTGAAGTTGTTATTATACTTGTGATTTACTTATAACTGAAATAAATACATTTTGACGAAAATAACATATTTTTGGGCTAAAGTTGTAACTATTTGGCTATATATTCATATTTTAGTGCACAAGAAACATCAAACCCTACAAACAAATGCAACATCAATTCCATACAAAACTACTTATATAAATAAACCAAACTACCAACCAATGATGGAACCAACAGATAATAATACTGTCGTCTTTCTTGCGCTCCCTTTAGCCATCTTTTAAATGTTTAAATTAAATTTTGAAATTGATGTTTCGGAATGGGTTCCACCTTAATGTAAATGCAATCCCCCTTCCTCCGATTGGGAGAGTTACATATGAAATATATTTAATAAATAATGATAATGATCAATTAAATTTATGGTGTAATCATAAAGAAACATGTTTCAGTTCAAATTTATTATGGGGTTATTTTAATTCAGGTTAGATATATTACTAGTACCGTTCCATAAATAAAAGTAATTACAAAATTTTTAATTTTATGGAATATGTTGGATTTCTAATTATAAATAAAAGTTTTAACAGAATAAATAAACGTAAAACTATCCATTTATTAAAAAAAATTAGATTAAAATTCAATTCATTTACTAAGTATAGTCTACTATTTTATAATAAAAAAATTATTAAATAAAATTTAATTCTAATCCGACTTTAAGTTTTAGCCAATTTTATTTTTAAAACAAAATTCTTTAAAGACCTGACTATAATATAGTTTTATTATTATTTGAAAGTATAGCAATAAGTGTTTGTGCAATAATGATGTACATTATATTTTTAATGTGGAAATTTAAATTTAAACTTTGGATATGATATTATTTATAAAACAAAAATCATTCATAAACTTGAAATATAAAACATAAAATGAATATGAAAGATAAAAGATAGTAGGAAGTACGAAAGGATTAGAATTATAAGGTAAGTTATATACATGCAAAAAGAAAAGTAATGAGTAAAAACAATGATTACGTCCACTTACATCAAAAGGAAATTTTACTGAAATTTGAAGTAAATTATTTTAGAAGCATCGATATTTTAATATATATTTGGATAATAACAGAATAAAACATTATAATTTTTAATACCAAATTGCCGATTTACCATGAGAAAGAAAATGTAAAATAAAGAACAAAATTAAGTCTGCTAGGGATGCGTGTAATTAATATCTAACTTGAAGTTAAATAAAGAACGAATTAAGTGATCTCGGTAATAAAAAATAGTATATATTCTAAATATTCTCAATCATTTGACATATTACTTTTTAACCTAAAGGTGATTTAATAGTATATAATATGGCAATTAATTAAATTTACATAAACTATAAATTTACATAACTGTTGTTATGTAAATTTAATTAATTGTCGTATGCCGATTTGTCATATTACTTTTTAATCGAAAGGTGATTTATAAGTAATATATATTCTAAATATTCTCAACCATTTAACAATTAAAATTCAATTATCTTTGCGGTCTCTGGTGCTTATACCTAAGACCTCTAAAGATAACAACAATCCATTTAACTATTAAAATAACTTGGTTCGTACTACTAATATATTAAATTAAATTCGATAATTGATGTTTATTTGCATTTTTTAATGAAATGTTTAGTTCTCTGATTAACATTGTTTTTGTATATTTTTAATCTTTACTTATTTCTCATTTTCTCATTAAATTAGAAATTTGACCTTATCGGAAAGAGTTAAATTTAATTTGGATAAATTATATGATTGATCACTTTTATTTGAGTTTTATAAATTTTTATTCACTGAATTCAAAAAACATAATATTTGATCACTTTCATTTCTTTTTAATTAAGAGGTGGATACTTACTTTTTCGACTTTCAAATATTTAGTTACTGAAATTTTAACTGTCGTTAAACCATTAATGGATTGATAACTTAGCAAAATAATTAAAAAAACTAAAAAAATATGTCATTTCCACGTGAATTATATGTCCATTCTATAAAGTATCTTTTACATAAACATGTTTAAAACCTTAACAGACTCCATCAGAGCATACATATATAATGACTTAGTTACATGCCAACATACTAAATTATATGACAAGATATACTTTACAAAATATTTCTGATCTGAACTTTGCGCGGAGATATGTTGCTTTAGGGATCCGAAGCTTGATCTTCTGACTTATCCACACCTACGTGTAAGACACTTACACGCTAAGTCATAGACTTAGTGAGACATGTAAATACATAAAATAAACTAACAAATGCATGAACATCATATGTAATACACATTATACTTATATACCAATTGAACTCATCACTAACATGTTTATCTTTACTTATTTCCTTGTCATTAATTCACTTCCATCATATGAGCATATATTGAACATAAACGTATAATGTAATCTCAACCACAACAATACATGAATAATTGCTATGATTATATCCTACATAACCATATAACATCTCATATCACCATTACACATATGCACTTGTTACCATTATTATCATATGATTCTAACTTATCACTTATACATATCATATATCACATATACCATTTCACGAAAAACACACATATCATTATATCAAATTATGTTTTCTTTTCAAAGCCCATGCACACTATTGAGAACTTAAGGTATGTGAGTACATAGAGGTTGTGCACAATGCTGTCACCACAGCTCGTATAAATCCCACTAGGAGCGCATAGAATTTGTCCCGAATGACCACTTAGATGTCCCGAAGGACCACATATAACACATATGTTCCTAAGGACTACTATGTCCCGAAGGACCGCGTAGACCCTCGACTCTTGGCATGCCAAATATACCTATAGCTCTCATAACACATGACATAGGCATTATATTTTACCTCATTACACATTAACATATTGATATCACATAGTTCTTTCACATAGTTCTTTATCACATTTCATATAATCACATAGTCACGTAGTTTACTTTCACGTAGCATTTTTCCATGAAATCCACATTATTCATCCTTTTCACACATGGTCACATCACATAGTTCTTCATCCCATTTCATATAGTTCACATATATATTTACCTCATATGCATATAACATATTATTTCTTATCTTTTAACTTATATTACATATGCATGTAATCTTATGACTTATTATCAATATCTCATAGATCATTATCATACAACACATTTTCGTACATACATTTTCTCATACAATCCCTTCATTCAATTATAACAACTAATCTATCTTATTATACTAACATGTATTCATATCATCCATTTCACATACATAACATATCATATAGCATTCTAATAGAAACACATATGAGTCATATTATTTTCACATATATTTTATCCTATATCTCATGATCACATGACCTATTGTCATAAATACAGGCATTTACATAGTTCCCCCATAAAGATGCATTCAACAATTAGACATATGCATTTACTCATATACCATACATCTAACACCATATCACTACATGTTTATGCTTTAGTACTTATATCATATAATATCGGAATTAGACTCATCGCAAGTCTTAATTCCTTAACATAATTTACACTTACTATCATGTACTCACGTGGTCTCAACGAACACTCTTAAGCTCTTATTTTCTTT